CCGTAGTCTAAATATTCAAATTTTCAAACATTGGCGACGGAATCCTCGAATGAGTAGTTACAGCATGCCATCTGCAAAGTTACAGGTCCATAATATGAAACACGGTGGTGGTGTAAGACCCAACATATGTAACGTTAGTTTTGCCCCACCCCCTGTAGCTTTTATGGGTTAGGCGTGGCCCCTGGGAGTGGCCTGAGTGGTTTGAGAGGACGAAACTTGGTTTTTATGTTGGTTTGGGATAGGTAGAACCCATTTTTACATTAAAACATGGGCCACCTACCCCGGAACATAAATCGCATACGGGGGTAAAGATTCTCAGTCTGGATTTGTATGGGATTTGACCTGGATTTCAGCTATTTTGGGATGGGCGTGGCCCCTGGGAGTGGCCTGAGTGGTTTGAGAGGTCGAAACTTGGTTTTTATGATGGTTTGGGATAGTCAGTATCCATTTTTATACTAAAACATGGGCCACCTACCCCGGAACATAAATCGCATACGGGGGTAAAGATTTTCAATCTTGATTTTACCTGGATTTCAGCTATTTTGGGATGGGCGTGGCCTGAGTGGGTTGGGAGGTCGAAACTTGATTTTTATGATGGTTTGGGATAGGCAGTACCCATTTTTATACTAAAACATGGGCCACCTACCCTGGAACATAAATCGCATACGGGGGTAAAGATTTTAAAGTCTGGATTTTAGCTGGATTTCAGTAATTTTGGGATGGGCGTGGCCCCTGGGAGTGGCCTGAGTGGGTTGAGAGCTTGAGAGGTCGAAACTTTGTTTTTATGATGGTTTGGGATAGGTAGTACCCATTTTTATACTAAAACATGGGCCACCTACCCCGGAACATAAATCGCATACGGGGGTAAAGATTCTCAGTCTGAATTTGTATGGGATTTGAGCTGGATTTGAGCTATTTTGGGATGGGCGTGGCTCCTGGGAGTGGCCTAAGTGGTTTGAGAGGTCGAAACTTGGTTTTTATGATGGTTTGGGATAGGCAGTACCCATTTTTATACTAGATCATGGGCCACCTACCCCGGAACATAAATCGCATACGGGGGTAAAGATTCTCAGTCTGAATTTGTATGGGATTTCAGCTGGATTTCATCTATTTTGGGATGGGCGTGGCTCCTGGGAGTGGCCTGAGTGGTTTGAGAGGTCGAAACTTGGTTTTTATGATGGTTTGGGATAGGTAGTACCCATTTTTATACTAGATCATGGGCCACCTACCCCGGAACATAAATCGCATACGGGGGTAAAGATTCTCAGTCTGAATTTGTATGGGATTTCAGCTGGATTTCATCTATTTTGGGATGGGCGTGGCTCCTGGGAGTGGCCTGAGTGGTTTGAGAGGTCGAAACTTGGTTTTTATGATGGTTTGGGATAGGTAGTACCCATTTTTATACCAAAACATGGGCCACCTACCCCGGAACATAAATCGCATACGGGGGTAAAGATTTTAAAGTCTGGATTTTAGCTGGATTTCAGTAATTTTGGGATGGGTGCGGCCCTTGGGAGTGGCCTGAGTGGGTTGAGAGGTCGAAACTTGGTTTTTATGATGGTTTGGGATAGGCAGTACCCATTTTTATACTAGATCATGGGCCACCTACCCCGGAACATAAATCGCATACGGGGGTAAAGATTCTCAGTCTGAATTCGTATGGGATTTCAGCTGGATTTCATCTATTTTGGGATGGGCGTGGCTCCTGGGAGTGGCCTGAGTGGTTTGAGAGGTCGAAACTTGGTTTTTATGATGGTTTGGGATAGGTAGTACCCATTTTTATACCAAAATATGGGCCACCTACCCCGGAACATAAATTGCATACGGGGGTAAAGATTCTCAGTCTGAATTTGTATGGGATTTGACCAGGATTTCAGCTATTTTGTGATGGGTGTGGCCCCTGGGAGTGGCCTGAGTGGGTTGAGAGGTCGAAACTTGGTTTTTATGATGGTTTGGGATAGGCAGTACCCATTTTTATACCAAAATATGGGCCACCTACCCCGGAACATAAATCGCATACGGGGGTAAAGATTTTAAAGTCTGGATTTTAGCTGGATTTCAGTAATTTTGGGATGGGCGTGGCCCCTGGGAGTGGCCTGAGTGGGTTGAGAGGTCGAAACTTGGTTTTTATGATGGTTTGGGATAGGCAGTACCCATTTTTATACTAGAACATGGGCCACCTACCCCGGAACATAAATCGCATACGGGGGTAAAGATTCTCAGTCTGAATTTGTATGGGATTTCAGCTGGATTTCATCTATTTTGGGATGGGCGTGGCTCCTGGGAGTGGCCTGAGTGGTTTGAGAGGTCGAAACTTGGTTTTTATGATGGTTTGGGATAGGTAGTACCCATTTTTATACTAAAACATGGGCCACCTACCCCGGAACATAAATCGCATACGGGGGTAAAGATTTTAAAGTCTGGATTTTAGCTGGATTTCAGTAATTTTGGGATGGGCGTGGCCCCTGGGAGTGGCCTGAGTGGGTTGAGAGGTCGAAACTTGGTTTTTATGATGGTTTGGGATAGGCAGTACCCATTTTTATACTAAAACATGGGCCACCTACCCTGGAACATAAATCGCATACGGGGGTAAAGATTTTAAAGTCTGGATTTTAGCTGGATTTCAGTAATTTTGGGATGGGCGTGGCCCCTGGGAGTGGCCTGAGTGGGTTGAGAGGTCGAAACTTGGTTTTTATGATGGTTTGGGATAGGCAGTACCCATTTTTATACTAGAACATGGGCCACCTACCCCGGAACATAAATCGCATACGGGGGTAAAGATTCTCAGTCTGAATTTGTATGGGATTTCAGCTGGATTTCATCTATTTTGGGATGGGCGTGGCTCCTGGGAGTGGCCTGAGTGGTTTGAGAGGTCGAAACTTGGTTTTTATGATGGTTTGGGATAGGTAGTACCCATTTTTATACTAAAACATGGGCCACCTACCCCGGAACATAAATCGCATACGGGGGTAAAGATTTTAAAGTCTGGATTTTAGCTGGATTTCAGTAATTTTGGGATGGGCGTGGCCCCTGGGAGTGGCCTGAGTGGGTTGAGAGGTCGAAACTTGGTTTTTATGATGGTTTGGGATAGGCAGTACCCATTTTTATTCTAGAACATGGGCCACCTACCCCAGAACATAAATCGCATACGGGGGTAAAGATTCTCAGTCTGAATTTTATGGGATTTCAGCTGGATTTTTTTGGGATGGGCGTGGCCCCTGGGAGTGGCCTGAGTGGGTTGAGAGGTCGAAACTTGGTTTTTATGATGGTTTGGGATAGGCAGTACCCATTTTTATACCAAAATATGGGCCACCTACCCCGGAACATAAATCGCATACGGGGGTAAAGATTTTAAAGTCTGGATTTTAGCTGGATTTCAGTAATTTTGGGATGGGCGTGGCCCCTGGGAGTGGCCTGAGTGGGTTGAGAGGTCGAAACTTGGTTTTTATGATGGTTTGGGATAGGCAGTACCCATTTTTATACTAGAACATGGGCCACCTACCCCGGAACATAAATCGCATACGGGGGTAAAGATTCTCAGTCTGAATTGTATGGGATTTGACCTGGATTTCAGCTATTTATGGATGGGCGTGGCCCCTGGGAGTGGCCTGAGTGGGTTGAGAGGTCGAAACTTGGTTTTTATGATGGTTTGGGATAGGCAGTACCCATTTTTATACTAAAATATGGGCCACCTACCCCGGAACATAAATCGCATACGGGGGTAAAGATTTTAAAGTCTGGATTTTAGCTGGATTTCAGTAATTTTGGGATGGGCGTGGCCCCTGGGAGTGGCCTGAGTGGGTTGAGAGGTCGAAACTTGGTTTTTATGATGGTTTGGGATAGGCAGTACCCATTTTTATACTAGAACATGGGCCACCTACCCCGGAACATAAATCGCATACGGGGGTAAAGATTCTCAGTCTGAATTTGTATGGGATTTCAGCTGGATTTCATCTATTTTGGGATGGGCGTGGCTCCTGGGAGTGGCCTGAGTGGTTTGAGAGGTCGAAACTTGGTTTTTTTTTATGGTTTGGGATAGGTAGTACCCATTTTTATACTAAAACATGGGCCACCTACCCCGGAACATAAATCGCATACGGGGGTAAAGATTTTAAAGTCTGGATTTTAGCTGGATTTCAGTAATTTTGGGATGGGCGTGGCCCCTGGGAGTGGCCTGAGTGGGTTGAGAGGTCGAAACTTGGTTTTTATGATGGTTTGGGATAGGTAGTACCCATTTTTATACTAAAACATGGGCCACCTACCCCGGAACATAAATCGCATACGGGGGTAAAGATTTTAAAGTCTGGATTTTAGCTGGATTTCAGCTATTTTGGGATGGGCGTGGCTCCTGGGAGTGGCCTGAGTGGGTTGAGAGAACAAAACTTGGTTTTTATGATGGTTTGGGATAGGTACTAGCTATTCAACCACTAAAACATCTGTCACCTACCCCGGAACACAAATCACATACAGGGCCGAGTAAAGATTTTTGACTTGAATTATAGCTTTTCTGGGGTCGGTGCGGCCCTTGGATGTGGTTCCAAGTTGGGTTCAAGGTGTTATTTAGTTATTCATATCATAGTGTCTATAAATATACGAGCAGTTTATTTTGACTTTTGAAGGGTTACCGTCATAAATTCTACAAATATAATTATTTTAACGTACGTGCGGCGCGCAAATCGCATACAAAATCGCATACACATTTCAGGGAAACGTCTTCTGATATCATCTTTTTGGAAGGAGCGTTGGACAATTTTGTATAATCGACGCGCAACAGTACAGCGCGCTGTTATTAATTATATGATATAATGTATAATACTAGACGAGAAAATTGTCACATGTTTAGTTGTGATGTTGTAGAGTTGTAGTAGAGCATTACAACTCTATCGATCTGATGATTTACCTTAATATCACATATACCTATATCGCATTTGATAATGTTCATCATTTTTAAAATGTCCGTTTTCAATGTCGTTCCGCACATTTTCATCGCTCTGTTTCAGAAATTTATGAACGTAACAATCCTCTCCGCTGGTACGCTTGCGTTCTTTGGGTTCGTTGCGGAGATTGAAAACTGGATTCCCAGAAACATGGCGGTGGTTTGGATACTGTACGTGTTCGGTACCATGTGCATCACAGGTGATACTTTTAAAAAATCATACTCTCCAGTATTCACTATTTTCGTTCGTAAGAACGCCAACTGTTGACTGTAAACCGATAATAGTTAGGGAACGACATTTCCCCATGATTTTCTTTCAAGAATTTTTCTAAAATAATTAAAAAAAGCTAAAATTTGTAAAAACCCGATTAATCTGCACAGGAGTGGTACCCTTGCTGTTCGACATGAGCACAGAGTCAAGTCACCCTGTCAGCGAGGAACTGAGCTCAACGATAATGGTATTGGGTAACCAGATGATGTGTAACGTGTTCACTGTAATCCTGCAGATACCTAATCTCAGTGAGTGTTTTACATCTTGTTATTTTATACATATTAGCTGGTTCTGCCCTGATTTTCCGATGTAAGATTTTGAAAATGTTTAAAAAGCTTAATTTAGTGGAACCAGTCTATGACACTTAGTACGTGACCCCCCCCCCCCCCGCAAGGAACCAGTTAGTGGCGTAACGTTACGCCACTGCCTGCAGGGCCAGCAGTCCGGACTAAGGCACACTGAGCTGACTATCTTTGATTGAATCGTAACTGCTATTTGTCATGTCGATATGACATGATATATCACCTAGCCCATTTCTCAGTTACTGACGAGGAAAAGGACAGATTAAACTACGTTTTGCTTGCATCGTACGCCATCGCAATCCTCTTATCAGTTCTGTACAGAACTACAAACGTGAGGTTGTTGATAGACGCATATTCGATAACAATAGATCAGCTGGATACGCGAAGTATTCAACAGATACGGAACGCTGGAGTCAGGATGTAAGAAAACAGCAGTATGTAACTATTACTTCTGCAACAACAACCAATATGTGAGTGTTACGTTCACTTCCGCGGGCAAATGTCATTGTGTGCGCCGTTGAAAATGTTTTGAGTGCGGGAGCAGATCTTACCTGGGTTGGGGCCGCCCAGTAAGAGCAGATCTCTAACACCTTATATGGGCATCACGTGTAACAGATCAAGCGTAACACCCGTTTGCCCGTTTGGGGGATTTCCTAAGAAGTTTTGAACTATTGTGTCACGTGATCGGATCTCAATACACATTCCGTGCTGATAAAAAACATCAACCGAGTGCTTGATGCACATAATGTTTAAAAAATTATGAATGTGAAAATATGATTGAATCCCTGGATAATACTCCGCTTAATTCGTGATAATAATTATGTATTAGGATTTTTAATTTTTGTAAATATTATGCTAATTTTCATAATTTGTAGTTTGTTTTGTCAGCGTTTATTATTCAGTGTTATTTTCACAGTTTTAGGAGACTACCAGAGAAATATTATAAAAACTCAAACCCTCAGAGTCAGAATATTTGTCCAAAAATGTATGGTCGAACTTTTCAATTATGTCGTTTAGTTTTATCATTTTTTTAAACGTTTTTCATCTTGAACTATAAGGTGATATTTTTCGTTAAGGGTCGGTGAATGTGTGATATATTACTAAGCATCATTTTTATCAATTGAATGTGGATATAGAATACAGTTATTTTTAACACAGATTTGGAGTCTATTTTTTTGCCATTGACAGCATTTACACCATCAGATAAATCTTTCAACTACTTTGTGCATAACGACTGAGAAATACAATTTATTTCTTCGTTGAAAAGCAAACAAAATTGAACGACGAGCTGGCTTAACCTTTTAGAGAAAATACTGCAAATGCTGTTAGTTACATCTTCAAAATTGATTTGCGCGTACGTTATTTTCATCCGCGCTCTTTTTCACTAGAAACCATTCGAAATCCGGATCAGTATGCGGTATGGTCTGGGATGTCTGGGCATTGCATAATGTGGCATGATATGAGCTGTGCTTGATTTGGACGGAAAATTGGGAGAGTTTTGTGAATGGTGAAGGGGGTTATTGTCAAACAAATTGATTTAATGTTTGCTGACGTCCGCAAGGCGGAAACCCCCCGCCGTCTGCATTTCTAAACCCCCTCAGCTGCCGACGTTATATGTGAACACTCCCTAAACGATCTTTTTGCGAATTTGAACTTAACGATGCTTCACGATACGGATAACTTATATTTTTGGTGCAACAATAATTTACCTAGCTCTTGGCCTTGTCTACATAGCTCTTGGCCTTGTCTACCTAGCTCTTGGCCTTGTCTACCTAAACTATTGCTAGTCTATTAGCATTGCTTGCTCCTCTCACGTATATTGTATTTGCGAGAAGCTCGAATAGAACGCCGCATATTATTATTGGGACTAGTAACGATAATCGGTTTTCAAAAACAAATAATTTGTAATTAATTTTATTTTATTGAATCTACATTATATTCATACATTATAGTACATAATACACAAAAGTTTATTCATTATTAATTCACAAATATGCTCTTTAAGTTTAGAATCTAGAAGTACATGAAATTAGAAATTAAGAAATCATCTAATGTTCAAAACATGTTTTAAGGGCATCTACTTAAGCTTAGAACGTCCGCCAAAATCGCAGATTTTCAGACCACCCCCCCTGTCCGGGTGTGTCCGAATTTTCAAAACCACCCCCTCTCACAGACGTCCAGATTTCCAGCTACTTTTAAAAGTACAAATAAAACCAACTCAAATTCATTGTTAATAAAATGTGTAGTTACTTAAAATTGACAATAATACATTTAGTGTCGAACAAGTTTAGCACAGTTACATTTAAGTACATTAATTAAGTACTCGCTTAAAATACAGGGATCTAAACTTGCAAGTAATTAGTGTCAAAGAGTTGAAATAAATGGGACTTTTTCGTTAATTCTGCCAAAATTCCCGGACGTCCGGATTTTCAGAAACCACCCCCTCCCCCTAGCTGTCTGGATTTCAAAAACCACCGGCCCCTCCCCGCTAAGTAGATGTCACCGGCCTTAGATAACCTTAGCATAGTCCTCCTGACCTAGGCATAGGGAAAGAAATTCAAGGAAATTAACATCTTAAGAGTAACTATCTAATCTGCACGATTTACCTGACTATTCTCACATGATGTTATAGTGGGAACACACAAATGTAAAATAAAAAAGCTAATATGCGAGTAACACTAACAGTAACATGCAGCTATGAATGAACATGTAACCTACAATTAGTTCCACTAAATCAATCGCCAAGAAATTCTAATCTTAACCATTATAACAGCATATGGGCCGCAGCTCTGAAATGGTATTGGTTTATTTGGGGACCCCATGCTGATGCTGATAGTGTTCATAAACATGCCAATAGACGCTGCACGGCGGAATGACAGTCTGAGCGCCGCCCAGTATAACTATAATCAATATTAAAAAGGTTAAATTGCTTCCCCGAAGATGGAAGAGCTATGAGCAAACTGCAAAACTGTTCTAGTGCAACACGAATTTAAATGTTTATGGCTCGGGTTAGGGTTACAGTTAAATTCGGGGTTAGGATTCAGGCGAGACTTACTTAGCCTGTCAGTGTCATTCCGCCGAATCTCTATTCGGCTATATTGTATATGTTTAATGTTTATGAACATTATCAATTATAGCCTGGGGTTCCCAGGTAAAGGCAAAACCGTTTTTTCGATTAGAAAACGATTACACCCAAGTCACGTTACGTGGCGCTGGCGAGTGAAGTTGTAAAAACCCATGTATTACTATTACTAGTCATCACATTTTAATATTAATATTATTAGTATTACTATTATTACTAGTATTAATACAAATAGTTAATACCATCTCAATTCTCATTTACTTTAATTTAAATAATATTTAAAAACATAAACAAAATATTTTTTGTTGGTTACGTTAATATAACCTTCCTTTGGCATATTTGCATATTTGCATTTTGCACACACATAAATTCTAAAACCTATGTATTTATAGTTTATACTTTCTCTGTTCAACTGCATATTAACAATTATTCATGTCCTAATACCAGTGCTGCTCCTGAGTCACGCGATCCTCTAGAAACCAATGATTATAAGAGTTGTGAGGAGGCCGACCAATAAACTGCAAAGAGTTTGACCTTGAGGGGCGGCAGAATAACATTCGGAACTTTCATAGTTTGCTGCATCACTGCAGTCAACCGCTGAGATGAGAAAAACGTTAGATATGTAAACTGAGAGTCAATTCAATTTTAAGTTCTCAATCTTACTATATATAAAGCGAGACGATATATATATAATATATGTATATATAAATAATAAATAGTTGTTGCTTGGTTTCCCAAAAGAGAGTGCTCGACTGCAGTTAAGCAGGCGCATTATAATTCGAACAATTGAAACAAATCAAATTGGCGGGGAAACCACAAACGATCCGTTTCATGATATGTATAAAACAATACCAATCATCAGTGCACTGATGATCCGTACCATTTTACTGACACCACGGCATCAACTTTAACACGACGTGTTCCGCAAAAACCTTAAAAGATATAAAACTGAAACTTTTTTGACTGGGTCAAATGCTTTAATGGCCTTCAAATCAGCATGAAAAAATAAAAAATTGGCCAAGGAATCAGAATTTTAGTGCACAAAATTTGGACCCTCAAGTGGTGTCAAAAACGCGAATTAAATAGGTAACAATTATTCAAGTCTCTTGACACTAAGTTAGGGTTAAACGGGTTTCTGCTAGTAACTATAAAGCGGAGTAAAGATGTTGAACTCTACAAGTGAGTTATATAATATACAGTGGAAAACTATATAATGGAAAACTATGGAAAACTATCACGTTTGATTAAACGTTTTAAAGTTAAAAGTTAATGGCAAACTCAAAAGTATTTAATGTCAAATTCAAAAAAGAGTTTATTAAAACTCAACCTGGGCAATTTTCTTCATCTGACCCATCTTCACAATCTGGATCTCCGTCACAAACATATGATTCCCGAATACATTGCTCTTGATCCGCGCACTTTACATATCCTGTGTCACATTCGGCGGCCACTGGTGAAAGTAATCGGTATTAACAGACTTCTGAGTAGTTGATGTTAATAGTCTAATAGACTTATAGTTATGAGTATTTAGTTGATATTTATAGACTTCTGGGTAGTTGATATTAATAGACTTTTAGTTATGAATATGTAGTTGATATTAATAGACTTCGGAGTAGTTGATATTAATAGACTTTTAGTTATGAGTATGTAATTGATGTTAATAGACTTTTAGTTATGAGTATTTAGTTGATATTTATAGACTTCTGGGTAGTTGATATCAATAGACTTTTAGTTATGAGTATGTAGTTGATATTAATAGACTTCGGAGTAGTTGATATTAATAGACTTTTAGTTATGAGTATGTAATTGATGTTAATAGACTTTTAGTTATGAGTATGTAGTTGATATTAATAGACTTTTAGTTATGAGTTTTTAGTTGATATTAATAAACTTTTAGTTATGAGTATGTAGTTGATATTAATAGACTTTTAGTTATGAGTATGTAGTTGATATTAATAGACTTCTGAGTAGTTGATATTAATAGACTTTAAGGTATGAGTATGTAGTTGATATTAATAGACTTTTAGTTATGAGTATGTAGTTGATATTAATAGACTTCTGAGTAGTTGATATTAATAGACTTTTAATTATGAGTATGTAGTTGATATTAATAGACTTTTAGTTATGGGTATGTAGTTGATATTAATAGACTTTTAGTTATGAGTAAGACACACGCCACACATGATCTCAGCTATAATACTATGAGTATTTATGATTTAATTTGAAGATCAAAATGCTTACCAGGGCATGTAGGTATATCACATAACCCCCCTCGAGGATTAGTTCCCTCACTATTCAAACACCAGGGTTTTGATTCACTGAGGAAAACGACGACACATGTTATAATGAATAATTTCTAAAAGTAAAAAGAAATTTCTCAGATCATTTATACTCCAAAGCCCCTCCATTGCAGTTTTATTGTAGATTTTACTTAAATTTACAAAAATATTTGTGCCCCTACCTTGTGCTCGACTTGATAACAATGATTATGGAACACTACCAGATATCAGATATTGAAGACTTACCCGTCTGGATTTCTGCAATAGTTCTCTTGCAGTCCTGAATCAGGGTAGCTGAAAATGTATTTGTAATAAGATATTTTCCTCAAGTAGGTAGTGTTGTGAATCGTAACTAACAATTTGGCTTCTGTCGAGAGCCCTTTTAGAAAAATTTCGAAGTTTGGGTGTAAAATTATTTAGGACGCTCGATTAAATTAAATAGAGTACATGTCTCATCTTCCAAAATCCGAATAATTTGGATAAGAATAAATCTAATTCTGGATTATGCCGTATTGTGGCCGCCTGTGGGTGAGACTAGCTTATACCTGTTGTGCCTTAGAAGCACCAAGAAAACTTACTTCTCAGGAGTTCTGCTGTGTGTATTAGGTGATTGAGAGTCCCATCTCTGGCAGACGTATCCTGATGCTGTGACTGATACAGTTCCTCTGTAGTCTGATCCATCCTCACCCGCTTTAACACACTCGTCTGGAGCTGGAGTTAATCCATTTGTTATTCTTTTTAGAAACGTTAATAATGAATAAAAGTAGTTTCTTGATAGAAGAAACTGCTCACGAAGGAAGAGACTAAAGATAAAGAGCCTGAGTTTGACAGTGAAGAAGCATCTAAGTTCTTTGAAAGGAGTACAAAGATGATGACCGAGAGCGTGACTATGTAAACCCCACAGGACTGAAATACCTCGACAAACCTAATTGGATCTGCAGTACAGCGCCATTCACATGGGATGAATTCCACCTAAAGCTTAAGTCAAGGAGAAATAGGTCAGCACCTGGGTCAAATGGTGTCAACTACCTGATCTACAAGAAGTGTCGAACTTTAGGTCACCATCTACACCATCTGATATGCAGGATTTGGAAAACAGGAGTTGTCCCCCTCCCCCACAGTGGAAGGTGGGAGTGAGTACATTAATTCCTAAAACGGATGATCCAAAAGATCCTGGCAAGTTCCGTAACATCACACTCCAAAACTGTAGTGGAGAGCTGTTCTTTGCCATCTGGGGAGACCGTGTACTTGAGCACATGACACGAAATCTGTTCGTTGACACCTCAGTACAGAAAGGTTTCATGAAGAAAACCCTTGGTTACCTAGAACACACTCAAGCCCTCCTTGAAGAGATTAAAGATGCTAAAAGCCACAGAAGACAAGTCCACGTGATCTGGATTGACCTTATGAATGCGTATGGGAGAGTCCCGCACAGCCTTATTATTTATGCCCCACGCCGGTACCACCTACCTGAAAGCTTCATTAAGCTTATAATTGAGTATTATGGAAGCCTCAGTGTCCTAGTTAAGTGCAGGAAATGGACATCCAGAACATTCTGGTATGAGCTAGGCCTGTTCCAGGGAGACCCACTGTCCGTGATCCTGTTCCTTATAGTATTCAACATCTTACTGGAACTTCTAGCTGTACTGTGCAGTCAAGTTGGGTATGAGCCAAGCTTCAGTGATAGTAAGACCTCAAAGAAAGCATTTGCTGATGACCTAACCCTGTTGTCGAAGAGCGAGAAGGAGATGAAGAAGATGTTGAAGGTAGTAGAAGAGTTCCTGGACTGGTCGAAGAAAATGAAGGCTAAACCATCGAAGTGCCTGTCTATGTCTATGAAGTGTACTGGTGGAAAGTACAATACCTATGATGCAGAGTTTGTACTAAGCGAACAACAGGTGCCGTCCATTATCCAAGCACCAATGAAGTTCCTAGGAATGTACAATGTATCTACATACATGTACAATGATTGTACATGTATGTAGATCTTGAGGTGAAGGAAATTCGGTACATGATTAAGAAGAAGCTAGAGGACCTTTTGGAAACAACGTCTAATGATGAAATCACGGGTCCAATGAAGGCGTGGGTGTATAACCACCTCATCATTAGTAAGATGTCATGGGGGTTTACTGTTTATAACCTACGCATCACATTTGTGAGAGAGCTTGAGGCACTGTGTAGAAGAGTACCTTAAGAAGTGGCTAGGGATTGCGCATCCTTGTACCACCACCGTCCTCTACAGGAGTAGAGACCAGAAAGGATTGCAGCTGAAAAACATCTGCACTGAGTACAAAGTCATCCAACTTATTAAGGGACACCAACTTTGTAACTCTAGTGACCCCTACATCAAAAAAAGTGTACTCTAACCATAGGGCTATTGCAGACACACAGAAGATGTGGTCTTATCCCAAAGAGCTGAAAGACCGTCAGCGCCAACTTTACTTCCAAGAGTTAGTTGGAAAACCTGCAGTTGGTACAACTGGCCTCGGTTATTGGACAAGATATGAGGACACATCACTAGAGAGGAAACTGCTAACCAACATGGTGAGGACCTTTGATGAAGAGACACTTATTGTCTTATTTGTTCACTTTTTGTCAAAAAGCAGCAAAACCTCTTTCTCACATGGGAAAATACAATAACATTTGACACCACGTGGAATAACCTGATCTATCAACTTAATCCGGAACTGTTAAAGTTTCATGTCAATACTATCCATGACACTGCGTCAACACCTAGCAACCTAAAGCTTTGGAATAAAGCCGTTTCAGGAAACTGTAAACTCTGCAGCAAACAAGGGACACTCAATCATATCCTCACGTTCTGCAAGGTTGCACTAAGACGGGGATGTTTCAACTGGCGCCATGATCAGGTCCTACGTGAAATCATGAAGACTGTTTCATCACAGATTGACGAGTTTAATTCCGACATTGCCAAGGAACCGAAGAGAGCACCGTCGGTCTTTCACAAGGCAGGCAATAAGCGCGAGAAGGTTACCCTAGCTGACCCAACTCATCATAAGACCCAAAGATATTTCTTTTCAGATGCCAACGACTGGAAGATAATATTTGATGAGGATGAGAAACAGAGGAACTTCCCGCAGCACATTGCACTATTGCAGCTACACCACTAAGACCTGATGTAGTGATCTATTCAGATAAAGCAAAGAAGGTTTATCTAATGGAGCTGACTTGTGGAAATGAGCAGAACTTTGCTGATCAAGAGAAGCGAAAGATGAAGAGATATCAGCAGCTGACAGAAGAGATAGAAGCCAACGGATGGGCTTGCAAGCTCCAGACAGTAGAAGTGGGAGCTCGAGGCATTTACAACTATAAGTATAGCCTCCCAACCTTTATGAACTACCTGAACGTAAAGAACAAAGAGAAGAAGAAGGCCTGCATAAAGATCGCTGAGATCAGCCTGAGGGCATCGTATACCATTTATTTGTCCAGAAACACTACCATATGGACAGATGATTGGGAGTTAGTCAAGAGACCAGTGGCAGTGATAGCATAGTAGGAGCGTAGAATGTTGGGCCAAGAAAAACATGTTTAATACCGCTATGAACCCGTCATAAGCCGGGGACTTCTATGAAAGTGATGATGCTGTGTTGTTAAAAGACCTTCGACCAATCAAAGATGTACCTCATCACGCCAAGCAGTTATGCTTGTAGGTGAATATACACTTATAGAGTGCAACAACTTTATAACACTCCGATGGCTTGATAGTGAGGTTCAGGTAGATAAATTAGATTAAGGTTTGCGGTAAATCTACGATTGCGGTAAATTGGAGCGCAGGAAATCTGAATTTGCGGTAAATAGGAACGCAGTAAATCGGAATCTGTAAACAAGGCCACTAGGCCAGGGCGGTGTAAATCGGACATTTGTGAATCGGAGCGCGCGGAAAATGACGTATATGTTTTACAAAGGCTGTAAGACCCCTGGAGTCGATGCAAACATTAAAAAAACATATTTTCCAATATCTGGCATTCTGGATCATTGTTTATACAAAGTGGAAATCATACGATGTCAAGTTTACAAATAATCACTAAAGTATTCTACCCGCACTGTAGACGTTTCTGTAGCGGTTTGATTTAAGGTGGATGGTTTGCTGGACCTTCGCACCCGATCCAGAGGCAGCACCGACATCAAGAAGTTAGCGCTCCGTCCACACACCAGCAAGCAGTTCGTGTCAATGGAGAATTGACAAGATGGTTTGATGTCGATTCGGGGACTGGACAAGGTGATGTGCAAGGGCCCCCATTTTTAATCTTGTACTTAACTGGGGATTAGAACTTGCAGAGAAGTTTAAGAATATATCCCGTGGTTTTACACTTCAGTACAGACAAAGTTCCAGACAACCGGAAAAATGTGTCATTGATCTTGACTATGCTGATGACATCGCAGGAATGGATGACACTGTTGAAGGACTGCAAGAAACTACGGACAATATTGCGAAATACTGTGGGCTTGGGGGTTTAAAGATGAACGCAAAGAAAACAGAGATCATGGTCATTGGGAAAGATACATCGCAGCACCCACTCCCAGAGAATTGGACCATAGATATAACTGTCGATGGAAACTCTGTAAAGCAGGTCACTCAATTCACTTATTTAGGTGCCAAAATTACATCAGATGGCAAGATTGATAAAGAAATAAGTGTCAGGATTGGAAAAGCAACCGGAGCGTAACCAACTCAACAACATTTGGAAGAATAAGAACATAAGCATTAACAACAAAGTGCGAATCTACATCGCAGCTGTTCTTACCATTCTGACCAATGGATGTGAGATATGGAACACGACTCAAGTGCAGACAAGAAGATTGGAGTCTTTCCATCAGTACTGCTTAAGAAGAATCCTGAGAGTGAGGTGGTTCCATCGAGTAAGTAATGAGGATGTTTTAAGAAGGGCATCAATAACTGCCCTTGCTGACATAATAACAACAAAACGGCTGCGTTGGTTTGGACATGTCAGTAGAATGCCTGAAGATCGGTTACCCAACTATTTACTTGAATGGAAACCCAAGCATGGGAAGAGGTCAAGAGGCAGGCCTAGGAAGAGCTTAAATCATAAATGATGTATTCATTGAGGATGCTGAGCAGAGATTGGATCGTAATGGACTCACGATTGATTGTATGAGAAGATTAGCTGCAGACCGAAAGGGATGGAGAAATGTTACCCGCCGAAGTTGTATAATACAAAGTAATGACGCAGTCGACGCAGACTAATCCTTTTGGATGGAGATCTCGCCATGTAACATGTAACATGTATTCTACCCTTAACTTAATAAGTTTTAATTATATGCACAAATATTTTAACGAAATTATACAGAGTCTCTTTGCAGACGACACTGATCTGTTTCTGAAAGTTTCAATAGAGAGTGTAGAGGCGGTTATGACAGAACTCAGAACTTTTGCTCAGTGCTCGGGATGTTTTAAGCTAACATCGACAAAACTAGATGTATTCCTTTGGGTCGTGCTCGCCTTAATACAACTCTTCTAGCGTCCCTTCAAGAAAACTTACAACTCAGTATTAGTGGTGTGTTTATTAGGTAATTGAGAGTCCCATCTCTGGCAGACGAGTCCTGATTTTGTGTAACAGAATCTTGTAAAGTTTACACTGAAATGCAGGACCGAGGTGGTCGAATACGAAATTGTTTTTAAAAAGCATGTATTAGTATTACTGATATGATGCTTAAACTTAAAGCATGAATATTTAATGCACGATAACCCATTTGAGGAAGATCACCTGTGATATGATCATCAAATCTGGTCATATTTCGTATTTGTTGTTTTTACACAACTTTCATTATCATAGACACTGATCTAGAGATATTTTGATATTTTTACTGCTTAACGACTGCCTTTCTTGCTTATTGTACGAAAAATCAATTTACAAATTATCTGCTAAAGTTTTAAAAACGCAAAAAAAGATGAAAAATATTGGATTTTTGATGGTTTTAAATGTTGACCATTGTTAATGGTCTGGCCCGGTGCGCGCTACTTCGTAGCACTTCGAAGAAATTTAGACGAGTAACATCCGTCAATTTTAAATGCCTTCGAGCGTTCATTTTAATGTCCGTTCATAATTATGTCCGTTCATTTAATGTCCAGTCAAATAAGGTCCAATAAGGTATATCAAGATTTAAAGTGGGCGGTTAGAATTAGCTGGTTAGCTGTAGAGGTCCAATAACGCTATAAATAAATTTGATCGATGATTTTACGGAATTTCGAACTTTTTGGAAATAATTTTTGAAGAAAAAAATGTTGTCATTATTTGTTATTGAATATTGGTTTATCGGTTAGAAATTATCGCCGATAATATCGGTTGCAAACCCTAATATATGATTGTGCTTGATCATTCACATTGTATTTGGTATTATATATTACGAAATGGCGGAAGCTATTATAATGAACTATAATACTAATAGCTGTATGATGTTATTTCAGAATTTTAGGTTTTAGGGTAAAATGTACAAGTAAGTTTATCAATACTCACCTGAGCAATTTTCTTCATCTGACCCATCTTCACAATCTGGATCACTGTCACAAACAAATGAACAAACTTCTGAGTACCTTATCATGGACCTTATTTGGACGGACATTACTTGAACGCTTGAGGCCCTAGCGTTTATCTTGATGTCCGTTCAAATAAAGTCCGTTCAATTAATGTCCGTCCAAGTTAAAGTTCGTTGAAATTTTTTCAAAAATTTTTCCATTTCGAACTTTTTACCCAGAATATGACAACTATAAGAACTTTATTGTGCCGTAAGTTAACGACGAAAAGGTTCTCCTTGGTCTGCCAGAGGCACAGAAAACTTTACTAGTATATGATGTTTTCAAGGGTCACTTGTCGGAAAAGTCAACGAAATAATGACACTCAACAACATAGTTCATGAGCTAGTCCCCGCCAACATGACAAACTTGTTCCAGCCTCTAGATATTACGGTAAATCGTGTTGCTAAGGACATTGTCCGACGTTTTTATAGTTCATATTACTGAGGGGAGGTAATGAAATTGAAACAGTGCTAGAAAAGCTCCACGTGATGTTAAGGTTAACCTAAAGTTGTCTAAGATAAAATTAAAACCACTTCACGCCGAATGGCTTGTAAAAGTGAACACTGAAATGCAGGACCAGGGTAGTTTGATACAAAAGGTTTCCACAAAGCTAGAAATCACTGATGCTTGTTTAAGCATGGACTATTTCATGCACGAAAACCCATTTAATGAAGATGATATGTGATATTAGACACTGATCATGTACACATATTTTAACATTTTTACTGCTTAATGACGGCTATTCTTACCTACTGTATAAAAAATGGATTAAAAAATCATTTGCTGAAATTAAAAAAACGTCAAAAATTGAAAAAAATTCGGATTTTTGATGGTTTTGAATGCCTTCGAGCGTTCATATTAATGTCCGTTCACAATTATGTCCGTTCATGTAATGTCCGTCCAAATAAGGTCCGATAAGGTATGTTTATTCGCACACATTATTGCATTTCTAAGATAAACATAAATTTCAGGATGAACCCTTCGGTCCCTCCAATTTTTAGGAAACAACAACTTACTCCATGTGCAGTCACTTTGTTGTGTTCCTGATCCAGAGGCTACCCCTTTGCCAGCTGGACATGCCGTGCAGGTAGAAGCTGCGTTTGCTGCTAAACTCCATTGATCTGCCGGACAGGCTTGACAGCCAGTTGACTGATCCAGATACTGGCCCGCAAAACAATCTTCTGCAAGTATAGTCGAGTTTAGTCAAGTATTAGTTGAAAGTTTCAGCCGCTGGCAAGCAGCTTAAGGGGAGATACACCAAAAACGTTTTGCTCCGAACATCGATTTTATTTTATATTATGGTTAAATAGACAAAAAGAATAAAATTGCACACCTTCAAAATTTTCTAAAAATATTCCCTCATCGAGAAAAAAATATTTTTCTTTTTCGAAAATTTTTAAAATTTGGAGAAGTCTGTCACTGTAATACCGATAGTTCGGCCATTTAAAAAGTGTTTTGGCTGATTTTTTTTACTGAACATTACTTACACTCCGTACAAGACAACCTTATAAAGGATTATATAATTGAACAATAAATGACCAAGTTACAGACCGAACAAGGTGGAAAAAGAAAAATTGGGATTTTTGCCTACCACCAAAGTTGTACATTTTACCACTCGCCCAGGTCATCAGATATCGCTTCAAAATTTCTTGTGAGTGTAGTTGATGATATGGAAAGCTTTTTGGAACAGGATTTCTCTCAATTCTGAGTTTTAAGGTATGAAATGTGGCCTCAAACGACTTAGTAAAATTCATCGTAAAAAAGGGCAAAAAAGGCAGATTTAAGGCTTAAAATGCCTATAACTCAAAAAGTATCCGTTTTTTTGAAATAATTTTTACAGGATCGTAATCAGCTTGGTAAGACGAATCTTTTAGTACCAAATTTATAATATTTAAAGACACAAAATTTGTAAAAAATTGGTACAATTTGTACAAAATTTAGACAATTGTTCGAGCTAGAAAATTATTTAAGACAATTTGTCTTCTAAAAGCACCTATTTGGTACTAAAAGATTCGTCTTACCAAGCTGATTACGATTCTGTAAAAATTATTTCACAAAAACTGATACTTTTTGTTAGAAACAATTCTCCAACCTGAAATCACTGATAGCATTAGCATCTACAATAACGTTCTGTGAGCTGCATTCATTATCTTGATTCATTGTGAAGGATGTAAAATTTGAAGTGGAGTCGCAATACAGTAATACACCCACCTTGAACAAAGAGAGTAACTTGGTCACTTTCAACAACTTTGTTGTCAGTATAAGTAGCCTTGCAGTAGTACTCTCCCTTGCTCCCCAGGACCAGGTTACCCAAAATAAGTTTAGACTCATACTGGGTGTTCCCCAAATCCTGGTTTATAACGCTCATTTGCTGGATGTCTGACCCAGCAGAGTTTACTTTGTACCTGAGTTACAAGTGAGTCAGACGAGAGGGTGTAGAATAGCAAAACACAAGCTGTATTCACAACAACAATCTTATTAAGACGTAGAAGAGGAACAACTTTATAGTTTGGTAATAAGCTGATAATCTTCTGAACAGAGAGAAAACACGTACCATTGTACGTTGGTTACAGGGTTGATTACAGGGTTGCCCAAAGTGCAGGTAAACTGAACACTTTCACCCTCCGCTGCACTTATGTCTTCAGGTGGGATCACTACTCCCTCATCTGGAGAGAGAAAAGACGGTGTTAATATAAAACACGGTGTTAATAGAAAACACGGTGTTAATAGAAAACACGGTGTTAATAGAAAACACGGCCGTGTTAATAGAAAACACGGTGTTAATAAAAAACACGGTGTTGATAGAAAACACGGTGTAGATAGAAAACACGGTGTTAATATAAAACACGGTGTTAATATAAAACACGGTGTTAATATAAAACACGGTGTTAATATAAAACACGGTGTTGATAGAAAACACGGTGTTGATATAAAACACGGTGTTAATATAAAACACGGTGTTAATATAAAACACGGTGTTAATATAAAACACGGTGTTAATATAAAACACGGTGTTAATATAAAACACGGTGTTAACATAAAACACGGTGTTAATATAAAACACGGTGTTAATATAAAACACGGTGTTAATATAAAACACGGTGTTGATAGAAAACACGGTGTTAATAGAAAACACTGTGTTAATAAAAAACACGGTGTTGATAGAAAACACGGTGTAGATAGAAAACACGGTGTTAATATAAAAGTCGTTTGAGGCCACATTACATAGCTTAAAACTCAAATCTGAGAGAAGTTCTACTCCAAAAAGTTTGATATGATCATCAGCTACACTCACAAGAATTTTTGAAGCGATATCTGCTGACCCGGGTGATTGGTGAAATGTACAACTTTAGAAGTGGGAAAAATTTCAATTTTTATTTTTTCGACCTTGTTTGGTCTGTAACTTCGTCATTTATCGTTCAATTATATAATCCTTTCAATGGCTTCTTGTACGGATTGTAAGTAATGTTCAGTAAAAAAATCAGCCAAAAAACTTTTAAAATGGCCGAACTATCAGTATTACAGTGACAGCCTTCTCCAAATTTTAAAAATTTTCGAAAAAGAAAAATATTTTTTTTTCTCGACGAGGGAATATTTTTAGAAAATTTTGAAGGTGCGCAATCTTATTATTTTTGTCTATTTAACCATAATATAAAATAAAATCGATGTTCGGAGCAAAAACGTTTTTGGTGTATCTCCCCTTAAGATTCGAAGTACCCTTTTAGGGATGGTTCGCTTTTATTTGAATATTGCAGATAAGTGTCAAAGTGTGTGCGGGTGGTGTTCACATACAATAGTTGCATTTCATTCACAGGAATTCCTTTCGAGCATCTGTGATGGGACCTCATAAACGTATAGTAATACCAATTATTGTACAAATACTAAACTTTGCTTGTTGACGTCAGTATTTCAGTCTACGTTTTTCGCACACATTATTGCATTTCTAAGATTAACATAAATTTCAGGATGAACCCCTTCGGTCCCTCCAATTTTTAGGAAACAACAACTTACTCCATGTGCAGGCACTTTGTGATGTTCCTGATCCAGCGGCTACCTCTTTGCCAGCTGGACATGCCGTGCAGGTAGAAGCTGCGTTTGCTGCTAAACTCCATTCATCTGGCGGACAGGGTTCACAGCCATATGACTGATCCAGAGCCTCGCCCGCAGCACAATCTTCTGCAAGTATAGTTGAGTTTAGGCAAGTATTTATAGTTGCAAGTTTCAGCCGCTGGCAAGCAGCTTAAGATTCGAAGTACCCTTTTAGGATGGTTCGCTTTTATTTGAATATTGCAGATAAGTGTCAAAGTGTGTGCGGGTGGTGTTCACATACAATAGTTGCATTTCATTCACAGGAATTCCTTTCAAGCATCTGTGATGGGACCTCATAAACGTATAGTAATACCAATTATTGTACAAATACTAAACTTTGCTTGTTGACGTCAGTATTTCAGTCTATAATGTTTATTCGCACACATTATTGCATTTCTAAGATTAACATAAATTTCAGGATGAACCCCTTCAGTCCCTCCAATTTTTAGGAAACAACAACTTACTCCATGTGCAGGCACTTTGTGATGTTCCTGATCCAGCGGCTACCTCTTTGCCAGCTGGACATGCCGTGCAGGTAGAAGCTGCGTTTCCTGCTAAACTCCATTCATCTGTCGGACAGGGTTCACAGCCAGTAAACTGATCCAGAGACTGGCCCGCAGCACAATCTTCTGCAAGTATAGTCGAGTTTAGGCAAGTATTTATAGTTGCAAGTTTCAGCCGCTGGCAAGCAGCTTAAGATTCGAAGTACCCTTTTAGGGTGGTTCGCTTTTATTTGAATATTGCAGATAAGTGTCAAAGTGTGTGCGGGTGGTGTTCACATACAATAGTTGCATTTCATTCACAGGAATTCCTTTCGAGCATCTGTGATGGGACCTCATAAACGTATAGTAATACCAATTATTGTACAAATACTAAACTTTGCTTGTCGAGGTCAGTATTTCAGTCTAGTAGTTGATATTAATATACTTTTAGTAATGAGTATGCAGTTGATTCGTATGGGTCTGTTTTTGGGGAGTAGTCGATGTTTATTTAATTATAAAATACTAGAAAACCGCGCACTTCACAAATCCTGCGTCACATTCGGCGGCCACTGGTGAAAGTAATCGGTATTAACAAACTTCTGAGTAGTTGATGTTAATAGACTTTTAGTTATGAGTATGTAGTTGATATTTATAGACTTCTGGGTAGTTTCTAATCCATTTTGCCTCATTTTTTTCCAGATCAGATGCAACATTTAATAATCTACTGTCTCTGAAAAAATTAGGCGTTCAAAGGCGTTTCAAAGAGAACAATATAGGTGTTTTAATATTGAATGGGCGTGGTCTAAAATATTCGAATTTTCAAATTTCTGCGATGGCATCCTCGAACAAGTAAGTACAGTATGCCATCTACAAAGCAACAACTCTCAAATATAAAACAAGGCGGATGTGTAAGACCCAACGTTTGCACACTGACTTTTGGCCCACCCTGTATTAATAGACTTCTGAGTAGTTCATGATATTTATAGACTTCTGAGTAGTTGATATTTATGGAATTATAGGAAGCTTATATGAGTCGAGCTGGTGAGTTGCTTGCGGAGGTGAGAGTAGTAAGTACTATTAATGGATATCTTTATAAAAGAGCAGGGTAGTAAGTACTACTAATGGGATGAAATCATGTTTTGCTGCTAAATTATTTCCGCCCTAATATCAATGAGCGGTGTCGGGTGTACCACTACCTAGTTTGTAGGTAGTTGTCAAAGATAAAACCACTTCACGCCGAATGGGTGGTAAAAGTTAACACTGAAATGCAGGACTGAGGTAGTTTGATAAAAAAAAAGGTTTCCAAAAAGCGGGTATTACTGATGCTTTAAGCATGGAATATTTTATGCCCGAAAACCCATTTGATGAAGATGATATGGAATATTAGACAATAATCATGTTGATGTAAACATATTTTAACATGTTTACAGCTGATTAAAGACTGCTCTTCTTGCTTACTGTATGAAAAATATATTTATAAATCATCTGCTAAAATTTAAAAAACGTAAAAAAAATGAAAAAAAATTTCAATTTTTGATGGTTTTGATTGTTCAAGTAATGTCCGTCGAAATAAGGTCCGATAAGGTAGTGGAAAACTATGGAAAACTATCATGTTTGATTAAACGTTTTAAAGTTAAAAGTTAATGGCAAACTCAAAAGTATTTAATGTCAAATTCAAAAAAGAGTTTATTAAAACTCAACCTGTGCAATTTTCTTCATCTGACCCATCTTCACAATCTGGATCTCCGCCGTCACAAACAAATGATTCCCGAATACATTGCTCTTGATCCGCGCACTTTACAAATCCTGTGTCACATTCGGCGGCCACTGGTGAAAGTAATCGGTATTAACAAACTTCTGAGTAGTTGATATTAATAGACTTTTAATTATGAGTATTTAGTTGATATTAATAAACTTTTAGTTATGAGTATGTAGTTGATACTTATAGACTTCTGAGTAGTTGAGATTAATAAACTTTTAGTTATGAGTATGTAGTTGATATTTATACACTTCTGTACACTTCTGAAATATGAGTAGTTGATATTGATAGACTTTTAGTTATGACTTTTAGTTAGTCATATAGTGTATCAGATGACTTTAATCGTGAGAGGTTTTAATTTAAGTATAGCATCTGATCAACCGACGTAAAGATCACTTATTATCATCGCACCACATGAATACATAGCTAGAACAACTTATATGGGTGGGGCGAGACTCTGGAGTTTGGGATACCAATGGGAATTGGCCATTGTGAAACATGGCCAACAGTGCAGGACAAAATTTAAAAACGTAAAAAAATAATAAAAAATTTCAATTTTTGATGGTTTTGATTGCCTTCTAGCGTTCATATTAATGTCCGTTCACATTTATGTCCGTTCAAGTAATGTCCGTCCAAATAAGGTCCGATAAGGTATGTGCAAACTTGGTTCCACAGTCAACATTGATTTTTAATCCTGTAAAAACTCTAACCTGCATCACCCCCCGAACTTTTCTTTGCAATTACACGATACTCCTTAGACGCCGAGTCGATCGAATTAAACTGCGCATAATCTGTCTGTTTATCCCAGTTTCGCCATCCATTAGAACAGTCATCTGCAAACGTAAATTTCAGCTGCTCCAGTCCGTTAACCATGATCTGGAGATGATCGCTGGTCAATATCAACCTCCACGTCTTGGAAAAAGCAGATACAACTTCTTGGTTTGCTAGGTTAAATGACCTCGGGATGATTGTACAGGAAACCATGCTGTACCTGAAAATCATTTTGGGTTGATTTGCAAAATTAATAGTGCTAATTAACTATTATAGTTAAAATGAATCAACGATTACATAGTAATATTCATAGTTTCTTACATATTTTTTCCTTGCAAATTTAATTCATAAGATTTATAATGTAATGGATTTACTCCTTCTTTCTTTTACTCTCCATCCTTATGGCTTCTGTATCCGCGGTCCACTCCTATTATTTCCTTTTACTAGGTATCTAATTTAACGTAAACTCTCAGCGAGTGAGCGAGAGATGGACAGCTCCACCTAGCTTAGTTTAAATTAGATTCCACACATTTAGAATTGTACCTTATTAGCTTTACTTAATAGGGTGCCATATTCGGTCCCACTATATCACTCGCCAAGAATTTAAAAGTTTTTCACATATAAGGCGTCTTAGCGGGAGCGGCCAAATATAAATTTTTGTGTTTACTAGCCTCATAACCTGTCACGTGACCTGATAACCTGTCAAGTGACCTGATAACCTGTCACGTGACCTGATAACCTATCACGTGACCTGATAACCTGTCACATGACCTGATAACCTGTCACGTGACCTGATAACTCCTCAGAGAGCATTTTATCATTATATTTGTCATAATGGCTATAAAATACATCTCATGGCGCATGATAGTGCCAAATATTCAAATGATTTATTGGGACCGCGGGATTAAGCCAGTTAAATTAGATTCAACCGAAACTGTACCATTAAAAACATGAACACCTACCCTCTTTTAGTTAGTCTTTAGTTTTACCTTTATTAAGTCTTTACCTGCTTACTGTAACTAATATAATTTGTAATTATATCGTTATACATACGAGACAACTGAGGATGATCCTGTCAACTGCAGGAAAAGTGTACCCAGCGGAGTGGACCCAGAATCTTCGTACCATCCAACAGCTAATATCGTATTGCCTGTCAAACCCTCCGTCTTTATTTCCAAATCGGACTCACCAGAATTGAATTGAAAATATTGATTGTTGACCTCCGTCCAGCCTGAGAAGAATTTGAGTTTCAATACTATTATTAAATATGGAAACGGTCTCTGAATAAACTTTTCATAAGCGTCTCCTTGCAGGAATGTGTTGTTCATAGTTGAAAAATGAAAAGTGAAAAATGACTGCAATGATCTTTATTCTAGCTTTATAGTATGTGAAACTGCTTATAGTTATATGAAAATACGAACCTTCTTCAGCTGCCTGAGTACTGACATCAACTACCAGCCCCAATATGGCAGCTAGCGCCACTATTAACTTCATCTCTGAACTATTTTCGCTGTACAATTTAATCCTATGTAAAAGTTTGGGATTTAAAAAATTGAACACCAGGGTGAAGATTAAGTCCCCTATACATCAGGGTGATGATTAAGTCCCCTATACACCATGGTGATGATTGAGGACCCTATAAACCAGGGTGATGATTATTGTCCAGTGTCCATTACCAGTGACTTGTTGACAATTCTTAACCTTAACCAAACAAAAATTTAGACTATCTTAATTTCCGATAAAGTAATTATAATTGCAGTGAAAAGTAGTGCGACTAGACCCAAGAAGTCTACCAAACTATAATAGAAATAAGCGATCACTATGCTAAAACGAATGAAATATCATTTATACGTGTGATTTTGTCTCCGTAGTAAAATACATTAAAAACAAAATGATTCTATCATATATTCATTTAAAATATTCTATCATGCATATGGAGTTCAACAAAAATTCATTCACATGCTTCACTATCAAAACATTTCGTTACGCACTTTATAGTGACCAATCACAACATCTGCGCAGTGGACCTCCACACTGTTAAACTTAGGTTCTAGCGCAGTTGACTTCATTTTAACGATGACTTATTGAAATTAGGTTTATCGTGAACCCTGCAAACTGCATTCAAGTAGATCTCAAATGCCGCTATTATCCTATTTAGTTTAGTAGTAAAATAAAATTATTTATATTTGTTGATATTCATGGCCTTTCTACTGCTTCAGCAATAATTTATTGTTTATCCTCAACAGACGAATAAGCGGCAAGCACTTTGGTCAGAATAAACTTACTCGCTGGCCAGCATGCACATACGCTCGTATGTGCATTTCACGTACGCGTCATGAACAATGAAGCTTCTTTTATTTGAGGTGCTTCATTTTAATACTGTGAATGAAGTGAATAAAAATCCAACAAAATCATTGGTTCACAATTATTATGTTTTTAAATTGTACTTATAATTATATTGTTCGTGGTAATACTAATATGTCATCGCTAATTAAAATTTAATATTCTTAGAACTGCTACTTCTTCGTATTTGCGGGAAAGTAATATTACTTCAGCCTCATTGCTCATGGACGGATTCATTTTAAGAATCGGTCAATTACAATATTGCTTGAAAAAGATTTTATGGATAAAACGGTCTTAGCAGTGACAATTTTTGTCTGTTCAACATTTATAATTTGTTCTCACCCTATCCCACCGCCTCAGGTATTTTACGTGATATATGTATGTATATTGTATGTGATCCCTAACAAATGACTGATTCGAGGATAAGTAATAAATATGAGGAGCACTCAATAGATTCAATAGGTAGGCACTGATATATGATCTAAAAGTAAATCAAATTTATCAACTATATCAATACAATACAACAATATCAATATGTTTTTAATCAACATATTCGGACGCCTTAAAATTTAAATAATGCACGATTGAAATTAAACACGCTTCAGTTTTTTAGTGCAAATTATAAATTATACCATACGTATACGGTTGTACTGTAGCAGAACAATTTATAGCATATTTTATCGATTACAATGTTGACACACAGACGCTGTATTATACCAGTCAGCGGGACAAGTCTAGAGAAGCGTTTAAAGAAAAGCGAAGAAAAAAAACGTGTTTTCATGTTCAGCGACTCTATTTCATCGTGCATGGAATTTGAGGAATCACATGTATCAAACTATGTATGGCCAGCAAAACATTAACTATTTTATTTAAACCAGAATGATTTCCTTTTTATTTTTACATTTCTTGGAAACAGGATAGCTGCAGTTTATTGATTTTCAAAGAACAGAAAATAAAAATATTCTGGTCAGCCTCAGAGATAGTCTAAAATTACTGGCTCAAAGATATATATCAATATGTCATCCCCGTACGTGGCATTCGACACAAATTTTCTGAGATGCTTCTTGGTTGTATTTGAGTCTGACTAATAAAAATTCATCAACGGTGAATTTGAAATTGTTGCTTGTAATGTGTACGTGATAATTTGTTAAACGTTAGTCGTCATTGCTGATGTTCCATCTACACGTACAAGTTAAAAAAAGATTATTGGTAAATGCGAGCGTGCTAAATCACTCTACAATCGATTTTCGAGATTGTTCTTAAAGGGCCCCGACAGTTGAAACTAACTTCAGTCGGTGTATTTACGTACGCTGATTCCGAATCACCCCTCATGACATAATAGGATTAAAATGCTCCCCTGACGAGATATTGGCGAAAAACTGTCTCGATCACGTGATATGACCGTATAAGGAAGTTAGTCTAATTTCTCGTTAGGGTTATAGTTTCAGCAAAATCAAATGCTTTTGTTAAGGATTGGGTTAGGGTTAGGGTTGGGATCAGATTAGAGGGTTAGGGTTTCGAATAGTCGTTCAGGACTAGTTCTCTATAGCTAGAGAACGGGTTGAAAAAGTCACGTGAAAGACGAAAGTCGAGTGTAGAGTGATTAATCATCATCCTGGTAAATGCCAACATTGAACATGTACCGCAGGCAAGGACAAAAATAAATTGCGACGTGTCCGGAATTACGATTTGACCTATTCTCCGCGACAAATCGTGAATTTTCTCATTTCCTCGACAAATCTCTCATTTTCATTTAACATCTGAGGGCCAAATAGTACGTTTTTCTATTAGGGAGTGTTCAGTTCACGCACTTCACAAATCACGTCAGCAAATTTTTTTCGTCATTTTTGGCCACGATCCGAAGATCATATCTCGAGAGACAGACACGGAAAAAAATTCGGTTCATTTTGATCAGGGTAGCATAGAAAACGTGGTTTCCAGGAAAACTTTGGAAAATGTTTGACTTTTTGGAAATCATACTTTGAGTGGAGGTAGTGGTACTGGTACGGACAAAAATATTTTTTTGCTCATAATGATCAGAATTTAGGGTAGAATTCACATGCCAACTTTGTTATATATGTCTTCTTATCTCCTCTTAATTATCTAAGCTTCATCTCTTCATTTCTTCATCCAGACCTACATCAATCCTTATCAGTATCACTCTACAGCCACAACGATAACAATTCCTAATATATTATATAACCTGAGTACGAAAGAATATTTCACCATTTCAACATGATTATATTACGTTAAAATATACAGGCTACCTGGCTACGTCTGCAGTCCAGTCTGCACGCCGCCGCGTTTTTACAAAATCGGCGGCGATGAGGCCAAAACTTGCGGCGGCGGCGCGTGGCCCCTTGGCACTTGTAGTTTTGACTCAGTCGAACATAAATGCAGTCTCTGTACCGGTACGGGGTGGGCCTCAAAATAATGCTTTGGCTTCTGCAGTTTCAGTTTGAGTTTATGGTTGATTTATTTTAACGTGAATGGTTAAGAAAATGCCCAAGCATGCTACAATCTTACAATCCACAATAACATGTAACATTGCATGTTCCATAGCTGATGACATCAGACATATCGATACAGGATTGATAAATTAATTTAATTATACCGATGGAAGATATTTCAAAATTCTCAAAATAAAATGTTCACGCCGCCGCTGATTTATTCTTCGGCGTGGCGGCGTGAGCAAAAACTCGGTGTGGCGCGGCGTTAATCGGCGGCGGCGTGCACCACTGTCGGCAGCTGTATACAAATAGATTAAGAAATATCCAAGTTTGACTTACCAATTGTTTTCGGAACTGGAACTACCAAAATTACTACATCTTTTATTCGGTCAATAACCTGCACTGAATTTGTGATATTTTTTTCTGAAACAAATGAAATATTTTATTCTATTTTGCTTTTCCTTATCAATGTACGTGACGTTTCACATGTTCTACTACATTCTTTGCTTGCTAACTCAGTTTTCATTCAGTCTCGAAAAGTTGGTCATGAATTTTTTCGATATGATACATTTAAATTTACTTAAGGCCCCCAAACCACGTGGTTAAACACCAAATTAAATTCAAATAGTCCACGTTTCCGAGCAACCGAAATTTAGCTAGCACATGATCAAAGGTGTAAAATGAGACATTCAGTTTTTTAGGCGGCCGAGCTGTGATATTGATATCCTGCTGATAAATTGAGGCATTGTTTTGTCCTTTTCTTTTTATAGAATGTTGACTTTAAATACTTAACAAGACTCGTGAGTAAACCCCTCAGGGGCTCCCAAGCGGGGGCTTTACTTTAATTTGATTAAAGAAAACCTTAAACTGTGAATCCGATATGCTGTCGAGATAGTTGAAAGCAATTTGATGTTCGATTGCTGCAACTGAAGCCGTAATTTAAGAGCTGCAAACAGTGATGACGCGGTCAATTTGATAAGCTTTAAAATGAAATGCGTATTTTAGAATTAGAAAGGTTAAAATATCCGCCACAACTTAATTTTGTGATGTAAGATCCCGTCATTATCATAAACTTTAAATAAATCAATCCTTGTAAAAATAGTTTTGTAGACCATCTTAACTGTTAGCCCGTAACTAGTTATGCTTATACAAAATACTACCATAATGTTATTGGTATAAATGGGAAAGCAAATTTGTATTGTACATTTACCTGGGAGCAGTGAGAGGGGTAAGTTAGGAGGGGTAAGTTAGGAGGGGTAAGTTAGGAGGGGTAAGTTAGGAAGGGTAAGTTGGGAGGGGTAAGTTAGGAGGGGTAAGTTAGGAGGGGTAAGTTAGGAAGGGTAAGTTGGGAGGGGTAAGTTAGGAGGGGTTAGTAAGGAGGGGTAAGTTAGGAGGGGTTAGTAAGGAGGGGTAAGTTAGGATGGGTAAGTTAGGAGGGGTAAGTTAGGAGGGGTAAGTTAGGAAGGGTAAGTTGGGAGGGGTAAGTTAGGAGGGGTAAGTTGGGAGGGGTAAGTTAGGAGGGGTTAGTAAGGAGGGGTAAGTTAGGATGGGTAAGTTAGGAGGGGTAAGTTAGGAGGGGTAAGTTAGGAAGGGTAAGTTGGGAGGGGTAAGTTAGGAGGGGTAAGTTGGGAGGGGTAAGTTAGGAGGGGTAAGTTAGGAGGGGTAAGTTAGGAGGGGTAAGTTAGGAGGTGTAAGTTAGGAGGGGTAAGTTAGGAGGGGTAAGTTAGG